CATTCTGCAAAAGCTCTATGAATTCTCCGAAGGCATAACACTCTCCAGAGTCTCTGCAGAAGGCAGAACTGTAGAAAACACAGCACAAAAAAGATGACACTTTCTGTCATATTTGAATGCTGTTTTGAGAGTATCACCCTCAATATGACACAGGTATATGCAAAAAAATTAAGAACAAATACAGCACAACTCCGGTTTATTAAAGTTTTGCTCTCAAGGCCCACACAGCCTCGGAGCAGTTTGCAAAATGAAAACAGTAGGAGGCAAATAAAGTGGGAAAAATGCAGAGACAGAGATGAACTCATCAAGACTGTTTTATGCAAAATATGATCAGTAAGGACTTAGCGTGGGATGACTACAGAGTGAGAGACACACATTTTGTTTCCATTTGGTTTCTATAGTTCTCATGTTGCATATATTTTAAAAGGCAACTGTTTAAAAAGGGAAAACACCAGAGATCATATGCAGTCTTCATAGCTCTGTATTTTCTAAGTTTTCTTCCTCCACATCACCTTGAAATGTGGGATTTTCTTAATGGGCCTCATTAAGCACCCACTATAAAATCTGGAGAGAGAGAGAGAGAGGCTGGGGAGATGGTTTAGCAGGTAAAAGCACTTGCCAGTTGAGTGTGAGGGCCTGGGTTCATATCCCTAAAGCCCCACAAAAGCTGGAGGGGGTGATGCACATCTGTAAGCCCAGAGCTTCTCTGAGGAGATGGGGAATGGGAAAAGGAAAATTCCAGAAAGTTCATGGGCCAGCCAGCCTCAATCTCACATATGCCATGGAAAGACAACAAAGTGACCCTGTCTCAAATAAGATGGAAGGCAAGAACTGACCCTTGAGATTCTCTCTGACCTCTACACCCATATTGGTATACCTGGGCTGCGTTTGCACACATATATATGCACTATATAGACCTTCACATAGTATACACACTTACACATACACACATACGCAAAGAAAACATGGCCTTTGTTCACAGAACAGAACAGTGTGTAGCCATGTGGAGCTGATCTACCTACATCTACTCAGGTGGTAATTTGTCGTCCAGGAGCCCTGCTGTCACCCGTGACAGTCCCACCAGAGACCGAATCAGCATTTTCTCAAGCTCGTTGGGTGACATAGTTACAGTTCTCAGTGCAGCCCTGGTGTCAGGAGTCTACACAATGCTGATTCTAATGGGCAGTGGTGTCAAGAATTGCAAACCACATCCAGCTTCATTTCCCAAATGAGGACATAGTGGCCCATCTATGAACATCTGTGAACTCATCTAAGGCTACCCAACTATTTAATACCAAACTCATAATAATGGTGCTTTCTTCCTTATTACAAACTTTTTTCATTTCTTATTTTTTATTTTATGTGTTTGGCTGTTTTGCCTGCAAGTATGTCTGTGTGTTTGTGCATAGCGCTTGCAAGGGGCCAAAGAGGGCACCAGATCCCACAGACTGTTGGGTCAACATATTGGTGCTGAAGACCGAACCCCCATCATCTGGAAGAAGGCAGGTACTCAGAACCTCTGAGCTATCTCTCTACCCACCACCTTTATTAAAACATTTAAAAAAGCAGGGATCATACTTTGGATAGCTGTCCCCTAATGGTGCCAATGCTTGTTGCCAGTCTGCGGTGCTGTTAGGAGATGCTGCAGCCTTTGCAGGGCAGTTATGTGGGATGAACATAGGTGATGGGGGCTGGGGCATGCCCTTGAAGCAGACACTGGACCCTGACCCCTAGTTTCTGTCTTAGCTTCTTAGCTGTCATCACAGGAGCTGGCCTGCCTCACAGTACTTCCGTCACAATATAATGTTCTGCCAAAGCCCAAGGCAAAAGGGCCAAGTGACCATGGACTGAAAACCCCAAACCATGATCCCAAATAGGACTTCTTTGTAAGTTCTTTTGAAGTGTGGTTATAGATGATTATTTATGTTTTGTGACTACAGGGCCTTCTCAGGAAGCAAGCCACACAGACAGTTGGGAAGCTGTATTCCAGGTAGGGGAACTAGGGAGCTGGTGTGTGTGTGTGTGTGTGTGTGTGTGTGTGTGTGTGTGTGTGTGTGTGTCTGTGTGTTGGAGAGACAAGTTGTGTTTCTAAGCCCCTGACAAATACTGACATTTCACATGTAGAGACAGGAAATGTAAACTGCAAGGTCTTTTTCCTCTTTTCTTCTGGTGCTGCTATCAAACCCAGGACTTCATGCAGGCTAAGTACACATTCTGCAATTATACCTGCAGGTTCCTAAATCATTCTTAAAATACCTCCAATTTTCATATTCTTACTATTATGATCCCCTGAAGCATGTGTTTAACCAATAAGAATATTAGTGCTGCAATACTGCCTGGAGGTTGAACACTTGCCTCCTTATATGTGTAAAGCCTAGATTTCCATATCTGGTACCTCCCCCCTGGACAAACAACACCCAAATACAAAGAAAGGAAAGCCCCCAAATCCAAATGATTAAATTTAGAAGCGTTTGGAAAAATTATAAATTATATTCAAATTCTGGAAAACACAGAGAACATCACTGGGTAGTATTTGATTAATAAAATATTAACCAAGAGACAACTGATACCAAGGTCAAAGGAAGTAGCATTTTTGAGGGGAATGGAGAATGCAGAAGAATGTAGTTTAGGTATACTGAACTAGGTTGTCCCTGAATAGTAGCCTTGGGCAAGCACAGATGAGGATTTTTATAGGTGACTTCCACAAACAGTAGTTTGTGGAGGCAGTTAATTGGCTAGGCATGAATCTTTGACTCAAACCCATTTTGACTGGTTAGTTAACTACAGTGAGTCCAGGTGAGAAATGCTGAAGGTGCATTGGATACTGTTTTCAGTTGTTTACTCAGCTTTGCTGGAACATTTTGTGATTTGGCTGCTAGCAGACGTGCGGTCATCTCCCCACATCTAGATTGCACATGAGAAAGGCAACCTTAGTTACTTCTTGGTCCTTGCTTGTGGTACTGCTATGGCTCATACACAGAGTCTCTCACCTACCACTGGGGTACACTCCTGTCCAGTTACTCATTTTTTCATATAGCATGTAAATCTACTGGTCAATACTGTGGATTGGGAACTGTGAAGGTAAGGACTTACTTTGAATCCCAAACTCATTATTTCTTTTTTCTTCTTTAAGTGTAAATATGTATGTATGTACGTACATACGTATGTATGTATGTATGTATGTATGTATGTATGTATTCATCCATTTGTGCCATGATGCCCATGTGGAGGTCAGAAAAAAACTGTGAGTTGGTTCTCTTCTCCATCCTTTACATAGGTTCTATGGCTTGAACTCTGGTTTCTAGGCTTACATAACAAATGCATTTACTTGTAGAGACATCCCGACAAAGGGAGGGGGGAGAGAGGGTGGGAGGGAGCGAGGGAGAGAGGGAGAGAAGACCCCAGACAAATACTAAAAATGACTCCCTGCTGGCACAGTCAGGGCCCAGGACTCTAAGGAAGATGGGCAGATGACCCTGCTATGCCCCTCCCTGGTATTTCTGCCTGGGACCCAGGAAATGGTGACCTTAACTTCTGACTTAGTGTCATAATTTCTGCTCTTGCTTTGGCAGTGGTGCCCCCAGATGCCTTCAGTTACATCTCTATGCAGGCTGCTAAGGGTTAATTCTCATCCAGAAGCAGAATGCTTTCTTCTGTTTTGGATTCCGAACTTTAAGAAAAGGGGGGGGGGATTTGGAAAAATCATAAATTTCCTGAGAAGTACAGGGAATTTTCCCGTGGAAACATTAACAGTGAAGACAGAGGCTGGAGCAACGTTTATGGGGCGTGGGGGTGGCTGGAGGGCAGCGGGGTTAACAGTTTGATCATTAGGGCCTGAGGGAATTGTATGGATTCTAAGAGAAATGGAGAATTGTGGGGAGCATGGAGCAGCGGACTGGCAGGATTTGACTGAGGTTCTGAACCCGCTGCAGGATAAAGTGCTTCAAGTATACAAGGTGCAAGGGGGCGGGGGGTTAGCCAAAGAAACTACAGCTAGATCATTGCAAACATCTAGCAGAGAGTGGGAACAGGTGTGAGAAGCCATTTGGATTCTGATACATTTGAATGCAGACCGCTAGCATTTATAATACATGTGTCGGGAAGAGGCCATGAGGAGGACACCAAAGTTGCTGAGCTGAGCCTGGGAGGGTGTGATAGGCTGGGTTGGGGAGAGGAGACTACGGAAAGTGGTTTGATTTTTGATCTGCTAAGTTTGAGAGGGTTCTCACACAGCTGAGGAGACATGCCTTACCGAGGTCCGATACAGGAATGGGGTTCAAAAGAGGCATCTGACCTGCAGATACAAGCAGGATCGGTAGGACACAGATGTCATTTACAGCCAGGTTTTTACATCCCGTCCTACCTCAGATTATAGCTGTGCTCTGTGGGTGACTCAATTTATACACATTTGTTCTGATGAAAAAGACCGAAGAAATACGGTACCTGCCCCAAAGCACAAGGACAAAGGAGCTCTGTGTGTGCAGACACCTTGTAAACAATCAAGGACCATTCAGACTGGAACGCAGCAGGTGTTGAAAAGTATCAGTTTGGTGATCCAGGCAGAGTCCTCATGCACTACGCATGGAGAAATTATGCGTAATTATGAAGGGGTGTAAAGCCATCATAATCCTTATTTTTTTCTTTCTGCAGCCCAGTCTTTACACACAGAGCGCTCCAGAATTTTCAAGACTTTCACATATGACATCTCTGCATCTCTGAGCTGCCCATCGGTCTTGCAAGGGCTGATGTGATACGGGAGTTAACTGAGATCGCAGAGAGCAGATGCCTGCAGAGCTATGTAAACACCGGGATCCTCGTTCCGGAGTCCAGTCTAAATATGAATAGACCATTGCTCACCTAGAACATTTACTGGAAAGGTTATAGGACGGCCCCAGTCCCACAACCTCCCATCCCCACCGCTTCAGCAGTCTTCCTTGTAGTTACGGTCCCCGGTGCTAATTTCTGATGGTACGGCCCTTTACACCTATCGCGAGACCGAGATCCGCGCGCTTCTAGTTGCCGGGGCAACGGCGTTCTTTAAGGCCGCGGGCTTGGGACCGCTGCATCTTTGGTCTCCGCAGAGGCGGTGGTGGCGGGAAAGACCCGTCCCCTTCGAGGGGAAGTGAATGACACTTGGATGTCAGAGGTGCTAGTTAGTGCCTAGACGTCCAACCTTCGTCCCCACCGGGAAGGTGAGGGGACGCACGGACCTCGGGCAGAGGTCAGTAGCTGCTGTGAGGTACAACAGAGTGCTGACGGGCGGGCGGGCGGAGTCCTGTGTCAGGGCTCCACTGAAGGGGGAGCGCGGACTCGGTACCCAGGGGAGGTGGGTGTGACTACCGGGGCGTGGCCATGCCTGGGAGGGACTGTGGAGTCTCAGGGAAATATGGTCTCTGCTGGAAACTCTTTCTGCATTAGTCCATTCTTTCTGAAACTTCTTGCCACTGAGATCTAGAGAACTAGCTTAGACTGTAAGCCACACATAGTCATCTCACACACACACACACACACACACACACACACACACACACACACACACACACACAGAGAGAGAGAGAGAGAGAGAGAGAGAGAGAGAGAGAGAGAGAGAGAGAGATGAAAATAGGAAGAGGACTTGTAAACATTGGCCTGGAACTGAGTTTTTCTTATGAAGAAACGTAAACCAAATATAGGTAGGTACCTTTGGGCATCCATCATGCTGGGGAACATGAATAGGCTTTTCAGACAAGCAGACTGGCAGCAAACCAAAGGGACACAGGCAGTTTTGCCTCATCAGAGCAGATCATGTACTAACACATGAGCTGATCAAAATAAAACGTTGGCATGTATTAGCAGTTATTTGTTACCATTAGAGCCTAGTCACACTTCTACTTTACAGACTATCAGAAGATGACTGATATTTTAATTTTGATTGTTTTAATACCCTAAGAAAATGTGCATTATGTATCATTAAATGAGGAAATATATAAAACAAAAAAATTTCTGTTTGTACCAGTTGTTCTTTTCATTGTAGACTCACATAAGAGTGCTTACTAGCAACCACACAACAGAGTCAATATTAGGCTGTTTTGAAATTTCCTAGGCCAAGGAAATTAATTCATCTTTTTTTTTCAGCGTTGCCTTAGGCAAATATTTAGGACAAGGGCAGAAAGGAGCCACATTCTTTGCCAAATATAAGAATGTGCTGTGGCCCAGCTGCTAATATTGCCCTACCTGAACATCTTGAGGTTTGTCCACAGTCCACATAGTTCTCAGCACATTGTCTTCTAACCTGCTAGGACAGCCCGTTAAGCTCCACCTACAAACTTCAATGACTTTACTAGTCCAGAGTCCCAAAGTCTTCCAGTATAGTCAGACCTGTCACAGAGATAACCCATTCCTTGTTACCAACCTCTGTCTTAGTTACTTTTCTTAGTTACTGTAACAAAGCACTATGAGGAAGGCAACTTAGAAAAGAAAGCCTTCAATTGATTTAGTTTCAGAAGATTGGAATCCATGATGGCAGAGAAAAGGCATGGCAGTAGGGACAGCTGAGAGCCACTTCTTGATCTGAAAGTAGAAGGAAGAGAGAGCTAAGATGAAATGATGAGAGTTTATTGAAACATCAAAGGGCACCCCTCCCCCCCATGAAACACCTCCTCCAATAAGGTCACACCTCCTAATCCTTCCCAAATACGTCTACCAATTGGGGACCCAGTAGTTAAATATAAGAGCTTGGGGGGGGGGCAGGGAAGGCATTCTCATTCAAACCACTACACATACTTAGTACATTATTGATTTCTTTGCAAACTGTCCTTGTGTTTTCTTCCAGTTCCTGGAAGATTGCATATTTTATATCTACTCATTAACATTAGTTTTTGCTTTTATCCAAATAATATGGTCCAAATGTTGAACTGCTGTGTAACATTGACATTGGAAGCAATAATAGAGTGATTCCTGGTCATGGTCTCTTGAGGCAGCTGTCTTGAACTGTTAAATATTATGCTTAATTAACAATTGTTTGGTGTTATCCATTTTTGGATGTCCTCTTCAATTTCCTGTTAGAATAGGTTCTCTGCATCCCTTCTTTCGGATACTGCTCCCCATGCCCATATACTCAGTGAAATCATGATGTTTGTTAAGTCCATACTCAGTTCTCATACAACTAAGTACACATTGCTTGGCTGCTTTCTTATACAGCTCTTCAATTTTCATTTGGAATTTCTGTGTGACAAGTGATTTCTTAAACACATAATACATCTATAAGATCCCACTACAATGCTCTTTACTCTGACTTGTTTTCCAAATGGTCAAATACACAGATAGTCTGTCAGTTACATTTTCTGTGACCATGATTTATTTCACTTGACGTGTTTAGGGGAGGAATATAATAGTAACAGACCAGTTTTTGAAGCAGATGGAAAGATTTCTGGGGTCTTTTAGCTGATTCATGTCACAGATGGGTCCCTTTGCCCTGGCCTTTTCTTGACATGCATTATATTGGCTCTGCCACATGCTTCCATCTCCCCTGCTCCTCTCAAGCTGCAGTAAGTCCTCCTTGACAGGATGCTAAGGGTATGGAAAAAACATTTGGCCTTTTAGTGACTTACGCTTTTCAGTGGTGATGTGACCGGGCCAGGGTGATCCATCATCACACAGTAACAACGACAGGCCCTTCCTGAGTGAGCCCCAACCTCTTTACAGAGTGTGAATAATGTTGGCATCAATACCTCTTTCAGTTGCTGAGTGGGAAGAGTTAACCAACTGTTTGCTGAAGTGAGCAGCAGTGGTACATTGCACAGCTGGAGGCCAAGCCATGTTATTCCTCAGGGTGCCTGAGAGCAGCTTCAGCTTGTTAATGTTTGTGCTTCCTTCGGGGTGTAAAGCCTCTTTGGACTCATGAGTCCTTGGTTCGAAAACTTCATGAAAGACAGGCCACTTTGTCGAACAAGGAGGACATTGCAGTTTTTATGTTTACACATAATTATAAGCATTTAGAAACGTTTTGGCAGAAGATACCCATTCATATTTAAGCTGGATTCAGTTTCTTCTAGTTTCCAGTATGCATATTGTTCCAACAACAGGCAGATGTAGAAGATTTTTTTATCAAGGACATGGTTTAGAAGGATATATCCACAGTGTTTATCTTCTCCCTCTGGTGTAAGCCGTTTTGCTTAGTTTAAGCTAGTCTCACTTTTAAAATCCACCCTAGACACAAACTGGCGATAATGAAGACAGTCTGTGGCTAGAGTCTTCTGTAAAGTAGTTTGATGAAGTACAGCCAGATAGTGACAATTCTGTCCTCTAATCAAGGATGTAGGCCTTACTCTCTTGTGCCAGTCAGAAGCAGAACTGCGGATTTTAGGAGGGGAGAGCTGGTTAAATAAGGACTGTGCTGTGGAGGAAAGTGCTCCAAAAACCCGTGGCTTATCTGGAGGCCTTAGCAAATCCTCAAGATGTAGTGGGCCCAGGCTGAGAGAGGTGTCCTTGGAGTTTTCTGTGGGGAAGAGCAAGGCAGCACGTTTTTGTTTTGTATTTTCCCGCACCACCACAGTGTGACAGTGTGCCAGCGTTCACATGCCGCATTCCACTTCCACTGCTGTCAGGATCTGATACATAATCCACAAACACAGGGTTCTTTTGATGACCTTGACGGGCACTTATCTGTGTGACTTTGGTAGTGAATAGGTTCTGAGTAACTGGCTGTAAACCTAGATTGATTAAGGAGAAATTTAGACCTCGAAGTCACTTGCTTCTTAATTCCTTTGGCTTGGTTCAGGATGTCGATGGATATTATAAAGGGAAGCCTAGATGGAATTTCAAAACCAGCCTCAAGTTCAAGATCACGTCCTGGGAGCAGAAGTTCAAATGCTTCTCTGGAGGTGCTCTCGCCAGAACCAGGAGCCTTCAAGGTAATCGTTTGCTTGGGAAGGAACCAAGCTCTCTGCCACAACAGTTGAGGGAACCAAGGCTGTCCTTAACTCCCATTTCAATGTCGTCTTTGGAGGCTTTCAGAGAGTATTCACAGGTCCCTGAATTTTCAGCAGATTGTTCCAGATGAGCGCACTTAGATCTTTTTTCCTCCTCCCCACTGACTTCTTTTCTGTTTTTTTTTTTCTTTTTAAGTCTATATTGGACTTTTTAAGCTTTATGTGTTGTTTGGCTTCAGAAGGAAGCTTTGTATTCCAATATCTAATATATCCCCACTGATATTTACTATGAAAATAATTCAGTATTTAAAAATAGACTGTCAGAAGGTAAAATATTTGCCATGTACTTAGAGAACCTGGGTTTGAACCCCCAGAACCACATAAAGCTGGGTGTGCCAGTGTACATCTCTACTTCCAATGCTTCTGTGATGAGTGGTGGGGGTGTACATGGTGCCTAAGAGACAATTGGCAGTTTATTCTTAGTGTCACACATCTTCTGCCCTTGAGATTGGTGCTAGAGCCCATTGCTATGGTGGAGTGTTGAGCATGTGGGTGGCTACTTCCCAATGACTGAGGCTGGAACCCAGCTCTCCCTGGGATGTATTTACCCCATTGTGGCTCTCACTGTCCTGGGCTGATTTCGGAGTTTTGCAAACTGTGATTTCTCTTGACCCATCCATGAATGTCCCTTTCTGCCCTCTCTCAGGAAAACACAGCTGGGCCAAACTGCTGTTTTCAAAATGAAGTTTGCTGAAGCGTAAAGGGAAGCTGAAACAAAATAGGAAACTAAGAATAACCAAAGCATGTGAGTCTCATTAGAAGACTCTTATTAGAAACACATCTCATTCAAAATTCAAAACCAACCACGTCTGAGTCATTCAGATCTCTCAGCAGCGGTACAGGGGAAGGGGCTGCTGTTTCGGACAGCAGAGAGCAGGGCTCCTGGCTCCTGAGGATGGCTCTTCAGGACCAGTTTCAACTCTTCCCATTGTTATTTAAGATTTCGGGACAATGGTATTTATTTGGTGAAACATTAAATTTAATTTGCAGTTAAGTTGCTCTTCATTAAAGGCCCACGTTTCCAGGAACGCCAGTGTGTGTGTGTTTACACCTCTCCATATGTGCTGCTCCCAATGGTGTTAAATGCTACCATGTGTGACATTCTAAGAACATGTATTATCTGTTTAAGGGTCTTTGAGTATTATATTTTCGAAATTCTTTTTGTTGAAAATTATTTTTAGATTGACACGGTAAGCAAGTTGAATTTCAGTAAGGAGGACCACTCATCAAACAGTAGTGGGGAAGAAAGAAGATGTAGTCATGATGGCAGGTGGGCAGACTACTATGAGAGCACAAAATCAGCCAAACAGGGCTCAGATGAAGACCCAGACTTGGCTCAACAGAAGGCCTCCAAGCATCCAGGTGGGGAGATCACTGGGAGATTGGCTAATGATAATTGCAGATACTGTATTTGAAATATTAGGAGTATATACCAAAAAGGAGACATGTTTTTGGTGGGAAATGAGTCACTTGTTTTTTACATTTAAGAATGCCATCTTTAAATACATTTAGAAATATAACAAAACATGTTACTTCATAAAATTATTATTATTTTCATAATCCATTCATATGACATGGTCTATGGATCAGTTTTGATGGCTAATGTTGCAGGATAAGATGCATTAAGTCATTTATAAATACCCTTTAATGCTAATCTCAATGATGATGAATAATATTGATATCTTAAAAGCTACTTTTCTCATGACATAATTCTGGTCAGATTGAGTTAGAACAGTAGTTCTCTGTTGTGATGTGCAGACTCTGGGCATGTGGGTGTCTCTGAGACTCTTGCAGAGACTCTCTGGGTGAATACCATTTTCATCATACACTGAGGTGCTATTTGCATTTTTGCCTACTGTATTGACATTTGTAGTGATGACCCAGAAGTAATAGTGAGTTAACTGCTTAGGCCTAACTGCCAGTCCAGACCATGACACCAAATTGTACGGGCTTGTAGTTGTTAAGAAACTGCTAAGGGAGTTGTTGAGATTAGCTGTCTGACTGTTCCCAGTGTCTATTTATATATTTTTTCATATTGTATGAGTTTGTTCAAAATACCTTGCACATGGACTACCTATGGGCAGTGAGCCTGGGAATGCCAGGATTGGCAGCTGGGAATTAAACTAGAAGCTATTATATTTGAAGTATTTAAGCAGCATCATTGTAGAAACCTCATTATTAAGTTAATACTCTTTCTCGATGTCTTCCCTCTTTTTTCCTTGAAGAGGCAGAGATATACATTATAGGCAAACATCACTGACTCTTTGGGCTCTCACTTAGCATGGTTATAAATGATCTGACCTGGGAAGTCTGAGACAGTACAGGAGCATTGATGCTCATTTCAAGTTTATCAGTTTTCACAGGGGGAGTGTTACCTTGTAGCAAAGTGCTTTCACTATGAAGTCAGACACATTTGAGTGGAGCTTACTGTTTTGTTTACTAGTTAGAACACTTTGGATATGCATGCAATTCAAATACAAATTTGCCTCAGTTTACTAATTAATTGTGATTTTAAGTTCAGATTCTGTGCCCAGTGCCATAACTTATAGCTCTTTGAAGGGTCCAGTGGTCCCACTGTAGAATAGAGGTAAATGCCTGTCTCTGAGAGTGAGTGGACAGTTATGTGAAAAGACACTCAAAAAATCACTTTGTCCATGAAGTTAGTACTTGACACCGGTTGTGTTAGGCATCACTATTGGCCATAAGTATTGGCTGAATGAAAGAACCAAAAGTAAAATAAAAACAAAACCTTGCTGTTTTATCAAACTTCAAATCCATTTCTATCTTTAACACAATGCAGATGATCCCAAATTAGAAGGGCCAGATGCTCAGCTTCAAAATGCTATTCGTAAGATGCACAGACTGGATAAGATACTGGCCAAAAGACGATGTAGAGAAAAAAAAGTTAAAAAGCAAGGTGAAGAAATGCGGACTAAGCTGTGGGAAGAACTCAAGGTAAGAACTGGACGAGTCAGGTTCCTCTAAAAATAAGAAAAGTGTGTCCTGAGGTGTAGTGGTAATGGAGTCCTGCAAAGTGGTGGCGCACACACACACACACGATCATTGGGTTGAATATTTTCCAGAACTGGGGAGGATAATTGGTCTGTGACTTTCCAGCCTTCTGGCCCTGCTCTGGCATGCTCATTACCTATGGGCAAGCCCCGCAAACCTCTCTTGCTAGTGTCAGACTGGTCCCCCCTCCATCTCTGACTAGGAAGGGATGTGATGGTGATTTTTATCAAAGACCTATGCCTGTCTTTTCTTCCTTGATCTCATAGTTTGGAGAGAAATAGACAAGCACACACAAAACATTAACTTATTGGTTGGTGCTGTTGATTAAATCTTTGGGACAAATAAGTTACGGGGCTCACTGCTTCGTTTGCAGCTCAGATCCTTCTGAGAAGTTACGAAATGGCTTGTGTTCCATTTGCCTCTGTGTTGCCACATTTCTGGAGCCTGATTTCGGCTTTTCCTTGGCCTCTCCTGGCCTCCTGTTCTGTACAACATCGAGAGGTCGAAGTTGGACAAATGTTGGCACAGTCTCCTAGAGTCACTGCCCCTCAAAGTAGAGCAGCTGTGAATGAGGGACCCTGTAGTAACACAGCTGATGCTGATGGCGTCCTCCTTAGTCACTGGCTAACTTCAGAGGAAATTGCCTAGGCAGTAGTAGGAATTAAGAACGAAGTGAGTAGGGATACGGTTGTATGAGTATCCTAGGAAGACTATCTGGGTGAACATAAAACTGCCGCCAGATTTAAACAAGAGACGATTTTATACAATTTAGCAGAAAAACAGTCTGTTTGATTTCTGCTGAAACACAAAACAAACTTTAATTTGTGTTGAAATAAGAATTACAAATAAGCATAATAAAACATGAGACAAAAAAAAACAAAAAACAAACAAACAAACAAAAAACCCAACTCAAACCAAACCAAAATAACTCCACGAGGCCAATCTCCAATTTCAATTTGATGGGGTACTCGATATATACATATATGTGTAACTCAATATAGATGTGCATATATTTGTATGTGCCTGTGCATAACTCTCTCTCTCTCTCTCTCTCTCTCTCTCTCTCTCTCTTTCTCTCTCTCCACACACACACACACACACACACAC